AGAAATGCGTGTCGATCGATGGGCAGACGAATTACTACAGCTGGGCAGCAAAGGACTGCAGCATACCTCTGTACTCCATGTGCGAAAGCAAAGAACCGGCGATGACAAGTACTTATTTTTTTTCATAAGTGTATTTAGTCGTACATGGTCATTAAGCACAGACGCGTTGAACAAACGTCGCTACCAATGCCGCTGTCCACAGGGATATTCTGGATTCAACTGCGAACGCCAAAGCGAACCAGGTACTTTGTTGGAAACTGATTACTACTCAAAATCTCATGATTTTGCAGCAAAAAAAATTAAACGTTCGTACAGCATCATTCTGATGTATTCTTAATTAAGAAACTGTTATCGTTTAATATTTCATTAATGCAATTGGTGCCGATGCAACGGTGGCCTTGCAGAATGGTAGGTTTTTTAATGAAAATTTAGTATTAAAGTACCAAGGACATTCGAGCTCAATATTGAACTGTACTTCCAAGAGAATGCTCAGGTCTGTTGGGCTTTTTTAATACTTTAATTTTCACTTGTTTCCCATAAAATGCATGGGCTATGCTGTCAAAGTCTGTGCATTCCTCGTGCTTAGTCAGAAACGTTAAATAAGAGCATCGATAGCATGTCCATGTTTGATTTTCGTTATTTCAAAACAATCAAACGCCGCCCAATACATTTCAACGTTTCGTCGTCCCAAGGTGCAATCGATATGGAGTCAAGGACCGGCATCTTTAGTACCTATTGTCTTGCATGCAAGATTATCGCTAACCCTGGTCATGTTCTCAACTTTACATCCCTCGAAATCTTTCTCTTTCAAGAAAAGCGAGAGTAGCGTTAGCCTTCCATTGGCAAAAGCAGAAAAATGCAAAACCTCAGTGTTACCTTAACTCACGTTGGTGGAAACAAGCCAGCTGCACCAACAGCTGCTGCAAAACCTTCATTAATAGTCGTACAGCTGTAACTTTCGTTATTTCTTTTGTAAACTTCTAATTGGCCCATTGCGGGACTCATTGAAAAACTGTTTACTCATTGGTCATAGATAATAAATCATCGTCTGAATCTGCTGCTCGACCTGTTTCTGCAAGCAGCAAAATGTCGGCAGTATAATTGATCTGCATGAGGGTTTTTCAGTTCGTTGTCTAACGTGTTCCGCCATGGTGATTATCAAAAATCGACGCTTCTCAGCACTTTCAGTTCTCCATTTTCTGCCTCCACTTCTGGTCAAATAACTTGTTCATCAGATTGTATCATCGTATTCTTGCATAAATGTCTCCCAGGCGAGCCACATCACTGACCCATCTTCTCTTGACGTCGTTAACGTCACAAATCGCCTCTGTAGTTAAGTCGGTTGTCGAACTTGTGTGCTCGAAGCGTTATCCCAGACGGATAACATTCATATTCGTCGCTGTTGCCTCACAGAACTTAAACTTCCTCAGTCTTTAGCTACTTATCTTAAACTTTGCTTAACATTAAAACACATTAAAGCCAAACCTATTGGAGATGCAATGTGGGCAACTTTCGGAAACTTCTACAGTTAAACATTTACGTTAACCTCATTAAATATAAAAAGTGCACTCACCTTATATTACAAGTCTTTGTTATGTGATCAAATAGTAAACCTACAGTTCGCTGGCATCTCACGTGTCACGCTCAGTCATTTTCCTATTTCGATTTGTTCGCATTTTAGCATCACATACTGGCGTCGCGTGTTCCGATGAATCGGTCACTTTTGAGTGCGCGAAGTCGTCCGGCAAGGAACCACTTGGAATCTATCTTGAATACGCTTTGTTTGGCAGGTGGACGGATTTCGACGAGGCCGCAGTCAGATGTGGCGGAGACCGTTTCAAGGAAGCGTGTACTGCAGACAACAGTTTGTCCCTCATCAGATACCTCTGCAACGGCCTGGCCATCTGCAGGCTGCCAAAGCTCGATGACCTGTTTTTCGACAGCCCGTGCTTTGTCATCTCAAACGGACTT